GGGCGTCTAGTTGGGGCGAAGCCTATTTCTGCAGAGGGGAGGGAGAGGGTCTCATTTGCACTCACCTTTCATACCACTCCCTTCTTCCTGGAATGTGTTACGAGCAGAAGGCTGATCTTCTAAGTGTTCACTCCCACCACTTCCCGAAGAGGCTACACTGCTTTGTGGAGACAGGGGGGCATGATCGGATGGGACGCACTGGGGTCCTCTAGCTCGTAAGTCCTCATGAGACATCCATCCATGTCCTAGAGGCTGGTTTGGCACATTCATGGGTGGGGTAAGGGACACAGATCGTTTCAAAGGGCTGTGGTGTGTCTGGCCTGAGAGAACTGGAAAAAAAAATAAAATTAAAAAGGTTATTCCCTGCCCCCCCATGCCCTTTGGGAGGCAGTGGAAACCCCCGGCACATCCACGCGCTGTCTCACAGCTGCCCACGCTTCACCATACCGTGCCCTGACGGCCTTCTAGGAAGCAAAATGATGTGGCGTCACGAACCAGACTGAGATGATGGGATGCAGCCCTAATCGCTGGGTGGGGGCGGAGGGGGAAAAGGGCAGAGGCTACCTTCCTAATTCAGCAAAAACATGTTGCAGCAGCAACCAGAAAATGCAGGTAGCAGGAGGCTGCCAGGTGCTCGCGTTGGGGTTAGCATCTCTCTTGCTACCGAAGCGCAGGGGCTGGTTTAGAGGGAGCAGGGCCGTTCATACTCTGCGCTGGGACGCAGCAGTGCTTCCTCGAGTCCTGCACCCTGCCTCTGACAAGGCCGTCCGCAGGGGAGGAAAACGCTACAGTCCCCAGCATGGACAGCTCCACAGTAACTTGCCCCTGGACTTTTCTCGCTTTCTCTCTTCAGTAAGCACTTGGCTCGCGCCCCGAAGCCTGAGTATTCGCATCCCTATTTAACGCAACTGTGCATGCTCTCATTAGCCGTGTGAATGCCTAATCCTTAACGAGTCCTGCTATGCTCTCGGACTCCATCAACATCCCATTAGTAACGAGGGCCCTGCAGCACCAGAGCCCAGCAGGCGTGCATTAAAGTGTATGCTTTTCAGCCTTGCCCAAAAGCAAACACCCAAAAGTTCGGCTGAAAACACAGGCGGGAGACACGGAGATGAGTCGGATTCCCAGGAATCTCTCTCCCTCCCAAAACTTGGTTCCACCACCCTTCCTGCGTAGTTATTTTTCCTGACTGCTATTATAATACAACCCAGTTCACTGTTTTTTTAATTTTTTTTTAGCAAACATTTCCAGGACCGGAGGAAAACAGAACAAGGCAGTAACTCCTAGGATTTAGGCTTATTTTGCAGGGGAATGTTTAAAACAGGGTCTGCATTTATCTTGCTTTGAGGTTAGGTAGCAGGGCAGATGTTTTGGAAGTGTTGGTGAAACTTGGGTTTGGTTGTTTTTTTTAAATAAATGAGATGTTTCTGGGGAGCATAGGATTTTGAAGACATTTTAAATGCAGGTTTTCTTATGGCAGGGTCTGAATTTCAGGCTGCCGCAAAAAGGTCTAATATTTCCGTGCCCTTTTAAATGGACCCTCGGATTGATTTTAGGCACCGGCCAACCAGCCCGTAATCTTCAGGCTGCTGAAAAGAACAATCTGAAGGTGTGAGAGGGGAGGGACATTAAGGAGCCTTGTTTTCTTCGGGTGATGCAAACTAGCTAAATTATCACAACACTTCATGTGTTTCTTCTAACCTAAATAAATGTGGAATAAAATGGCAATTTAAATAGGTTCTGTTGCAATGCACTGGATGGGGCTGGTTAAGTGTTTGCGCCTGGGAATAACGATGAGGAACAAAACCATCCCCAAGAGCTTAACCAACCCCACCCAGTGCATTGCAATCTTAATCTACCCATCCCTGAGTTTTAATGAACCACTGTAGCTGGTTGTGGTCTAGCTCCTCTTGTTTGCACTGGCAAATCCCTTCATGCAAAAGGACATAAAAAAGTTCTGGAAGCGTCCAGTGGCACAGGGTGAGTGAATTCGACCGACCTCCGAACAGGCTGCTTGGGGGGTGAAACAACGAACTTTCTTAATACTCAAGTGCTAGCCATTAGTCATATCCATTTAGGAACCATTATGAGACGAGGCACAAGCTCCCAAACCCGTCTGGATGTGGACTCAAGACGGCGGGCCTGACTCTGAGAAACACATCAGAAGCTTCTTTTATGCATGCATCTATTTTTCTCTCAATATCTGGAGAAAAGAGGGCATTAAGCTGCGAGAGGCTAATGTCCGGAGATGGGCAGGCACCCGATGGCCATCACTTTGGCTGTAAGCTCCACAAGGTGAGATATGGAGACGACGAACGCGGGAGCGCCTTCTCTCTCAGGAAAGGTCATGTTTTCACAATATTGCTTCCGTTTGCATCAGACTAAAGCTGAAATCATTTGGGACGTTTCTGGCCATGCAGAAGTTCCTGGGACCCTGCAGTGGCTTAAGGGGATTGGTAAGGGTCCCCAGCCCGGGGCAGTTTTCTGCCAGTCCGGGCAATCAAGAACTCATGCTGGGTGGCATCCTAACCCGCTCAGTGAACACGCTGAGAAACTGGAGATGCTCCACGTGAAACATCCCTCGCTCGACGTGCTGGCACTTTGGGCTGAAAGATGGTCAGAACATTCCCAACCTGCTCTCGTGCGTGGTTAAAATAATCCTAGATTTCGACTGCCAGCTCAGTCTATGGGCAAGGCATTTCCAAGGGGCAGGAAGCCTGGGCAGAAAAGGACTAAACAGCAGATGATGTTAAAGGAAGAAGGGGGGTAGAAATGACCAAAAAAACTCAGCCCCTTTTCTAAATTTCACGGATAGCTGTATTTAGGAGGCACTTGGTTAATAGCCTGGGAAGCCTGAAAAGCTCGTTGTCTTCAGTCCCCTACAACTCGAGGTGCACCCAGGAGGACGGGGTGTCTCTGTCTCTCTACAGTGTCAAAGACTATTGCACAGTTGGAATAACTGGCTCTCTTTTGACTAAGAAACGTGTAGAAGTGACTTCCCACCAGTCTCCTGTGACTTGATAAAAGATCTGTCAGTGGGGACTTGGCCTTACTTGAAGAGCAATATTAAATATTTAACATTTCCTGATGGTGTGGGGGTTTCCCGGCTTGGCTGGGACAAGGTGGTCCACACGCACAGGGAAAAATAAAGACACTCTCATGGACCCACAGGAACAGACTTCCACCTTCAGCTTCCTCTGTGCAAAAATGAAGTGTATTTTCTACCTATGGGGACTTTGTACCATCTTTCATTTTTCCTGAGCATGAGGAAGGGCAGGAAAGCTTGCAGAAAAAAGATATATATTTTTTTGCACTCTATTAGTTGGTCTAATAAAAGGTATCACCTCTGAACTAAGAGTTACGGAGTTAGGGAAAAATAAGTAAGAAATAACTTCAAAAGTTAACAACACATTTCAGAACAAAGTCACTAGGAATAGGACCATGGGATCATCACAGTCCCTTCTCTTTGTCCTAGCTTTTGTCCTATCACTGCATAGCATACTATAGGTACAATTTTACTCTTCACATAGTCATAACCTGCACAGCTGTCCCATTTTTCCACCCCTGGAAAAGGAATCAACAATTCTACTGGGAAGTTCCCAAAAGCTGGAAATGCTGGGTGAAAATTAAGCGGTCAGTGAAGTTACAAAGGCCTCTACCATCCAAGGTGCACTGCTCGTGCTTGTTATCTGTGTCGCCAGGCCCGACCCTCACCTCTTTGCTTTGAACCTCAGGCTGCAAAGGGGACTTTGCAATGCTGCCTGCTATCCTGGCAGCAAACCTCAAAGGAGGAGGGACTGCCTGTTACTGAATACCAGTAAAGTTCCTGTGCTCCCTGCTTCCACTTTTGGTGGCATTAAGCGCCATTTAGTGCCTTTTGCAAGAAAGGGATAACAAACTCCTCTCCATCGCATACAATGGGCCATGTAAGCCGATGTTCCTTGACCCCATAACAAAATAAACTATGCTCTTGACAGCTAGGCTGACTTGCAGAATAGGCAATAACTGTCCCAATTCAGAAAGCAATCAGCTGAACAGCTACTCTGCTAGAAGTCAGCTATGAGAGAGCTCAGACTTCGTGAGACTTTTCAGTGCCCCGTAGAGAATCCAGAAAGACATCCTGGATAAAGGTACGTACTTTAAAAGTACATTTGCAGCTGTCTCTTTTATCACTGTGGTCTCAAGCTGTGAGCTGCAGAGCTCTTTCTTCTCACCTGGAGAATAAAGTGTTTGGAGAAGAACTGCCAGGGACTGAGCAGCTGGAAGAGGAGGTAGGGCACAGGCAGCTCCCTGCCTTACAAAGGGAAGAGCAGAATACCAGCGAGCCTTCAAGCTGTCCTGGCAAAGAAATGCTCCAAAAGACAAGAGCAATGCTTTAAAAAAAAAAAAAAAAAGAAAGAAAAAAGCCCGCATCATGAATGACGCTCTCTCTGCAAAGCACAGCCTGTGGTCACTTTGCATCCCATACATAGGGCCCTAGCACAGGCTTCCACAGGTGGAAACTGAAGTCATGCAGCGCAACAAGAAAAGAAACGAGAGCTGCTCCTTTCAAGGCTAGGAAAAAACAAAGCTGAATTCCTAGAACGATTTTGACTACGTTCGAAGTTGGTTCAGGTAAGTTTGGAAAAGGCCACTGTCGAGCAGGACGGCCGCATTCTGCCTGAACGTGTCTAGCCTACTCCTGTGACAAGCGGCGGGGGAATTTCAGACCTATTTTTAAGTGTACCTGTTAATTGTGGGGAAGGCCTCGAAGCTTGCAAGAGAGGCTCAAAATACACGCACACATAAATGAATTAAGGGCAAGCAAGGCGGCACTGCTGCTCCAAGCAGATGCAAGCCCTGCTACACCAGGTCTGGGTTGATGCATGCTTGCCCCTAGTGCCCCATATGACCTGGCAGCCTCCCAAGGAGCAAAACAGATGGGCGTCGTGATGGAGAAGGTAGCACCACGAACCAGCTCGGTGGGACTTCAGTGGGACGGGCTACTCTACTTCCTGCCTGCCTGCTAGGAACCACTCCAGAAACATGGTTCCCAACTTCCGAAAAGCCTTCAGCATTGATCTAACTCTACTTTCCCACTAAAGTCAGTGGAAAACCACCTGCTGATTGCAATGAAGACGGGGGGTGGGTTGGGGGCTGATGAGTATTCTGGCACATCCATGGCCACGGCCTTTACGAACACTTGCACCCCACACCACACTGTGAACCCTAGGAGGAGATGTACAGAGCACATGCAAATCTCTCGCTAGGTGTTTTAAACGAGCCTGTTTCTAATTATCAACAGTGTTGCTAGCAAAGGCATTTGCGGCTCATGATTTTGAAAGTGTCC